GCATCCATATTAATTATTTTTTGAGCGTATATGTTACACCTGGTTGACTAGAGAAACAAATCCAGTGAGGTTTATATGTGTGTAAGAGAGAGCTTTTTATCAAGAGTAATGGGATATTCCATAAAACATCCCAGCCCAGTCCAAATCAAGTCCATAAGTCCACTACTAGTGGCATGCAGAGTCTTACAGATCCAATAGAGGTGGAACCATCTAGTTTGGGGCTTGTGTCCGGATCTTAAGACTCAATGCTCAAAAATCAGGCATTATCCAGCCAGAGTTCTGCCTCATATCGCAGGTAATGAATGAATTTGGAGCTCATACTTAGTTTTAGACCCAATCTAAGACCAACTGGTTCTTATGATATGGCCCTGCTCAATGCTCACCATCATAAAGAGATCTCTGAAGATATGGTCTAGAAAGGTGTGGCGAAGTAAGCAATTGGTGCCTGGCTTGGAGTCTTAAAAGATTGCCTTCAAACCAGCAGCCGCCTAAGTGAACTGTCATCTAAGTCCACTAGCCTGTGTGATGCAAGAATTTTAAATAATAAAATCCAAAGAAATGTATTTGGTTTGGTTAGATGCTATCTAGTTTGTTCCAAACTATAGCAACCCTATGTACAACAGAGCAAAACATTGCAGTGTCCTGCACCATCCTTACTATTGATCCTATGCCTGAGCTCATTGTTGTAGCCATGATGTCAATCCATCCAATCGAGGGTCTTATTCTTTTTCACTGCCCTTCCGTTATACCACGGATGATGTCCTTCTCCAGGGATTGATCTCACTGACCATCTGTCCAAAGTGTTTAAGAGGAAGTCTTACCATCCTTACATCTAAGGTGCACTCTGGCCATGCTTCTTGGAAGATATATCAGTTTGTCCTTTAGCAATATTCTTCTCCAACACCACAATTCAAATGCACCAATTCCTCGTGGAACTTCTTTATTCAATGTCCAAGTTTCGAATACATATGAGGCCATGGAAAATACCATGGCTTGGGTAAGGCACACCTTAAGCCTCAAATTAACGCAAAACCTTTCTTTTCTTTTCTTTTTTTTTATCATTTATTTTCAATTATTTTAAAAAAGATCTTGTACTGCAGATTTATCTACCACAACACATCTTTTGCCTATTGACTGCTGCGTCCACAGGCATGGATTGTGGATCCGAGCAAGATTAAATCCTTGGCAATTTAATCCTTCTCTCCATTTATCATGATGCTACTTATTGGTCCAATTGTGAGGGTTTGAGTCTTCTTTACATTGAGTTGTAATCCATACTGAAGAGTGCAAAACTTGATCTTCATCAGAAAGTGCTTTAAGTCCTCCTCACATTCAGCAAAAAATGTTATTCACCTGCATATCAAGATTGTTAATGAGCCTTACTCCAATCATGATGTCATATTATTCTTCATATAATACAGCTTCTCTGATGATTTGTGCAGCATACAGATTGAACAAGTATGGTGAAGGGGCAAAAGATTATAAGGATGTACATATAACCTCCTTTCAGGGGGATGGACAAGAGAAAAGTGGGTGAAGGGAGACGTCAGAACGTGTAAAACATGAGAAAATAATAATAATTTATAAATTATCAAGGGTTCATGAGGGAAGGTGGAGTGGGGAGAGAGGAGGGAAATGAGGAGCTGATACAAGGGCTTAAGTAGGGCAAATATTTTGAGAATGATGAGGGCAACGAATGTACAAATGTGCTTGACACAATTGATGTATGTATGTATTTTGATAAGAGTTGTATTAACCACCAATAAAATGATTTAAAAATAAATAAATATATTTATGACCAAAAACTTTATTAAATATAATTTTTTAAAGTGTTGGATTAATTGCAACTTTTATTGAAACTCAAGTGTAATCCCCAGTCCATCTATACAGCAAGTGTTTCCTTACAGACTTTGTATCATTTGGTGTTTTACCAAGAATATTCAAACAGTACAGCCAGAGAGCTCCTTACAAGGAAAATGGTGATATTTTGAAAGTTCATAACGTTGTATATGTCAAAATGTTCTGGTTACCCTGGAAGTGCTGTGTTGAAATCGCCACTATTATTGTAGAAATGTCTGCTTTTTAGTTCTGTCAATATTTGCTGATTGTAGATTTTGCTGGTTTTCATTGTTAAGATAATCCATTTCCTCATGGATTATACGATTTATCTGACCCTTGTTGAATAAATAAAAGTCCTTGGACGGTGCAAAACCCTCACTCACTTGGTTAGTAACTGAACGGTTGGAAGATAGATCAACACAAAAGTACCTTTAAAGAGGACCTGTGGATCTATTCCCCAATCAATCTTTGAAGACCCTAAGGAGTTTAGTTCAACTATGGCACTCTTAGGGTCCCAAGAATTAGAGTTGACCCACCTGCCACTGATTTTATTATATGTGAATCTGAACATATTTTACTGGCATGTCCTTGAAAAGCAGGTTCACAGTCACTCTGACTAATCATCCTCTTATTCTAAATTCAGTTTATTAACTGAGTCCTATTGATGGGTTATATTGAGAAAATCACAAACCCAGAACTTCATCAGCAAGAAGCGCTTTGTTTTCTCTTCAGACATAAAATTGGAAAATTTTAAGTCAACACTCTTGGCCCACACAATGTTCCAAACATCGTGCTCATTCTCACATCACAAATCAAGAAGCACCACCTCTTCCTTTGCCTTCATGTATCGCTTCTTTTAGGACATGTAGTTCTTATATCTTGCAAAGAGGAAACTGCCAGCCACCGTTTTTGTTACGAACATAAATCCACAGAATGGCTTTGCTCAACCAACTCATCTCATCCTACTTGAGCTGTCCGGTGAGTCCTGGAAAAGCGCACCTTGTTTTAATGTCTCTGTTCCATATGGGAATATGGAACACTTGACTCTATTGTAACACAGCTCTATATTATTATGCTTCGTGTATGGTTGCATGTGTGTGAAATGAACGCAATTTGAGGCAAAGGGTTTCAAGAAGAAAGAAAAGGTTTGAAATATGGTGGTAGACATTGTAAAATGATGCTGATCTAACTGAATTATGAATTGTTATAATATCTGTAAGAGTTCCTATAAAATGATTAATTTTTTAAAAGAAGGCAAAGGGTGACATACAAATGACAACTTGTCCCAATCACTCTTGGTATATTGATTAAGTACAGGATGACAAAATTTCTGTACATATACACACATCTGTAAAACAAATGGCTAACATATTGAATTGAAAGCATGAACAATTAGGTAAATATTCATATTAAGTACCATCCTTGCCATTTATATTTCATTGAAAATATTACAAAATTTACAAGGATTATAGATAAACTGAAAACCAATGCCTTGAGTTTTATTTTTCTCCATGAGAATTAAACATTCAATACCAAATTTCAAGTCAGAATTTTCCAATAAAAACAAAAATATATGTATGTGATTAATTTAGAAAATGCTTTGATAAAACTCAAAAGGGCTAATGAAAGTATGTCTATATTTGCTAGACTCTACATTAATGAAGGAATAGGTTTTAATGTCCCCAATGAAAGTGGTTACACTTGGGCTGCTAATCACAAGGTCAGCAGTTCAGCCTTCAGCCCCTCCACAGGAGAAAGGTGAAAATTTCTACTCTGGTAAAGAGTTACTGTATTGGAAATTTACAGGGGCATTTTACCCTCTCCAACAGGATCATGAGGAGTCAGCATGACACAATGGTAATAAATTGAGTTTAATAACATACAAAATATAGGTTCATTGTCAAGAGAGAGTCAATTAATTTTAGAAGAAACATTGGTGTGTTTGAATTTTAAACACTTCTAAAATATTTTCTAAATATTTCTAAATATTCAAATATGTGGACTGGACTTCCCTACCTAATATTGAATTTGCATCTCCTGTAGCTAATAACAACAAGATCCTTATTAATTACCTAAAATGAAAAGAGGAATTTCCATCAGGTAAATAATTGTGGGTCCATGTTTCAACATGCGTGACACAAGAGTGTACAGAAATACAAGGAGAATGTCAAATAATATGCAATTGGTCTGGCAAGGTTAGGAAATTAACAATATTTAATTTCTAAGGGATCAGAATGACAATACATGTGTTGGGTAAATGAGGAGCATTGAATAATGAGCCTCTAGGGATAGAGAAACTACAAATAGTGTGCATATGACTTCCCTCATAAAGAGTTCTTCCCCTGTGAGGAGGTAGAATGCATGACCTCATTACCAGAGATGATAGTTTATATCCAGGAACCTAAGTCTTCACAGAGACCCTCTGTCTTTTCTCAGGGTGGACCTTCTGTTCTCTACATCCTGACTAGATGCCAGCTCTACTTCTTCAGGGATGATGGCCAGGTAACCGAAAGTCTGCTAGATAATGTTTGGAAAGAAGGGCAGGTGTTTGACTAAAGGCACATCTACAAAAGCAATGGGCATAAAAACAGATATGCAGGTACCGGTTGGAGCTAAGAATTCCATGGCAATCTTTTTTGCCTTGATTCTTATATCTTATAAGACATTAAAGATATCTCTCATTCCGTGAGTCTCTTTTTCTGCCTCTAAAATAAAAAAATGATTTTCCTGTTGAGAAACCATCTAACCTTTTGGACACAGAATGAAAGTTACAAAATTCTGTGGCATTTATTAGCATTCTGTGTTTGTGGTAGTAAAAGAGACCTGCTCACATTCATCTTATCCTCTCGATTTTCAGTACATCTTTTTAATTATTTCCAGCACATGGCTCGGATAGCTGAAAAAAGACATTTGTGTCCTAAAGTGACTATTCAGAATGCCATTTGGTCTATCATTTTCTATGTTTTTAATTATTAAACATTTAAACTATATAGAGAAACATAGAGTATAATAATAATAATAATAATGGGAAGTCAAGCCCTTTGAGAGCACATAAATGTTGACCCTGCGATATAGGCTTCAGTTTCCTTTTTAAAGAACTCAGCAATCATAATCCGTTTACATCCCCCTTTATTCCCCTCTTCCCTTACACAATATCATAGCTGTCTCCGGGGGTTCTACTGCTGCGTGCATTCCAGGGAGCACACATCTGATTGTCGTTTTACCTGATCTTTTCATCAGATTCGTAAACAATATAGGACAGAGAAACCAAACAATTGTTGCAGAGTTCATTCTCCTGGGACTGACAGATGATCCAGAACTGCAGCCCATCATTTTCAGCCTGTTCCTGATGATATACCTGGTCACTGTTTTTGGAAACCTTCTTATTGTCTTAGTTGTCACCTCTGACTCGCACCTGCAAACACCCATGTACTTCCTTCTCTCCAATCTGTCCTTTAATGACATATTCTTAAGCACAACTACCATCCCAAAGATGCTGGTGAATATCCAGACACACACTCAGAGCATCACTTTTACAGGCTGCATCTGCCAGAATTTCTTTGTCCTGGCTTTTATTATGTTTGAAAATTGTCTTCTAGGAGCAATGGCCTATGACCGCTATATGGCCATTTGTCACCCACTAAGGTACAGCGTCATCATGAATCCTTGCTTCTGTAGCCTTATGGTTCTACTTTCCATGGTCATTAGTATGATGGTTTCTCTGCTCCACAGTCTCATGATTTTGCACCTGTCCTTCTGCACCCATCTGGAAATCCCTCAATACTTCTGTGAGCTTCCTCAGGTTCTCAAGATTGCCTGTTCCAGTACCCTCATTAATAACTTCCTGCTATACTTCGTGGCTTGCATATCGGCTGGTGCTCCTCTTTCTGGGATCATATTCTCCTACACTAAAATTGTCTCTTCTGTTTTGAGCATACCATCAGCTGGCGGAAAATATAAAGCGTTTTCAACCTGTGGGTCTCACCTGTCCGTTGTTTCTTTATTTTATGGGACGGGGGTTGGTGTGTACATCAGTTCCATCTTTACACAGTCTTCCAGAAAGACAGCAGTAGTCACAGTGATGTATATTGTTTTCCCTCAAATGATAAATCCTTTTATCTACAGCTTGAGGAACAGAGACATCAAGGTAAGTTTGAAAAAACTCTTTGTTAGACTCTGTTCCTTGTAGTCACTGTGCCATCTCTGCCAAGTCACTAATTATTAAAGACTGTCTGTGCTCAGCCTTTTCTGAATGTCAGCATCAGCCTCAGCCACATTCTGTTTCATAATCTATTTTGTTAGTGCTTCAGGTGGTCCAAGATAGGTCAGTATCTTCAGTGAAGAAGTCTTTGGGGATAATATTTAAGAGACTCTCAGACATTTCTATGCTTCAAAAGAGATATCGCTTTCCTTCCTTGGAAATTTGAAGAAGAAAATGTACAGAATTAAAAAAATAGGATTGAGTTTGGTGGATTCCTCCTAGGAGCAGTTTTTCTTGGGCTGAAGATAATTATTTTAGTTTCAGAGGCAGAAAATGTACTGTCATCCTCAGGCTTATTTTTAATACACATTTCAACAGAGACACCAGAATGCATGCCTCCTGTCGTGGGATAGGTGTTGACTCCCCGTGTTCTATTTCCACTTGCTACTTTTGGAACCTCTACATATGACAGGTAGGATAAAGAGTGAACATCATCTTCTGTTCAAGGAGGGGTCTTTTTATCTTAGTTGAAGAAAATGCACTTGGGGAAAGTGGTAATACAATCTGGGGTTTCGGTGACTGATGTGGAATGGTGTGCATGAATAGTTGAATGAAAAACTGATTTCCTTTAAAACTTTCATCTAGTACATCATTATGGAGACTTTGATTATAGAAGAGGGAGTGATAGAATGTTCACGGATGGTTTAAGGTGACCAACAATATGATGCACAAGCACCCTATGTATTCTCTAATACTGTGATTCTTCCACTCATCTGCACACTCAACTTGGCTCTCTTTCAAGTCCTGTTACTTTCCGCAAGAAATACTTACTACCTTAGAAACTATGTATACACACACACACACACACACACACACACATATCCCCCACTGTGACGGATTCTATTCCAATTTGTTGTAACTTTATATACATACTTTTTGTACTTCTTTAAAATAGCCATATAATGACAAAATAGAAACCCACCACAAATTCAATAAATAAAGCATTATAAACCGCGTAGCATCCAATGGACTATCTCCCAATCACATCAGATGTCTCATCTCTAGTGATCATTGTTAACTTGAATTTCTTTTTTTATCATTCCTGTTATGTTCTTTTATTCTATGAGTTTTATAAAATTATTTGTTCACTTGATTTTCCCAATGTTTGATTTCTTGACTGCTGCTTCCATGTGAGATCATTGTGACATCAAAAGTAAAATGTAATCTTGACATCAATCTTTTCTACGTTTATGATGATGATTCTTATTGCTCAGTTATAAGAATTTTTTTAAATGTATCTTTAAGAGATTTATCAGCACTTCATCAACACATCTTATAATTGCATAATTCCATCTTTCAAGAATAGTTGTACCATTATCACCACATTCAATCCTAGAACATTTTCTTCTTCCTGTACTCATTGTTATTCATGAATTATTTTTTTTAATTGTGATTTGTGTTGGAATTGATGTTGCTATGAATTTTCTCATTCCTATTCCCTAACCCTCATTAACTTAACAGCATCAAGAGGCCTTTTTTAAGGATTTTATAATTCTCAGCTAGAAAATCTCTTCCAACTCAAAGCAGCCTTAGAGGGGAGAGTAAAACTGTCCCTTTGAGTTTCCATGGCTTTAAATCTTCACTGCAGCATGCATATACCATCTTTCTTTTCTGATTAAGCAACTAGTGGGCTCAAAACACTGAGATAATGGTTAGCAGCTCGTTTTCTAGGCCCCTTTACCAACAGAGCTCCTTAAAGTTCATAGAGTAATCATTTAACCCACATCAGGAATTTTAATTTAAGGAGGGACATATGAAGATTTTCATTGGTAATGAGAGAGTATATTAGTGTGTTCTATCTCACACAGCACTCTTACTTTCACATCTAGAGCTTGTAATTTTTTTAAATCATTTTATTGTGGCTCATACAATTGAGAATGGAACTGACCTACCACACCACACCCAGAAGGAAGCTGAAGCAAAGGAAGGAGGAGGAAAGGAGTAGAGTTTGTAATTTATTGCAATGGCCACATTGTTCCCAGAGACAAAATTCATCATTACAACGCATATTAAGAATTGAACAGGTTGCCATGCAAGTCAAAAATGGTAAGTTGTTCAGTAAGCACAGGTTACAAAGATATTTCTTGGTTGTTAATAAAGGTCCCCCACCAAATGTCTGTCAGTTTGTCATCCGGTGGTGGCTTGTGAATTGCTGTGATGTTGGAAGCTAGGACACTGTCATTTCAAATGCCAGCCAGGCCTCCAAAGTGAACAACTTTCAGCAGAGCTTCCAGGCTAAGAACAGACAACAAAGAAGGACTCTGTTCCCAACTTTGGGGGAAGAAGCCACAGAAAAACGTATGCATAGTCTCAAAGTATTGTCACATACTGAAAGCCTACACAAGAAAAGACAGCCAAAATACTCCTTGGAATTGGGGTGGTAAGACTACAGTTTAGGATTTTGAACAAGTTTTAGGAGGGACCAGTCGTTGGTAAAGGACATCTGGATTGGAAACCTTCAGGGTTAGTGAGGGAGAGGACAAGCCTCAACATGATGGACTGACACGGTTGCTTCAATGATGGGCTTACTTAGCTTATAGCTTCAATTGTGCATTTAGTGCAGGACCAAATATTGTTTGGTCTAATGTAATAGGGTAGTCATGATCAAAGCTGACTCAGTGACACCTAACAATGATTAAGCACATTTCTATATGAAATCAGATAGAAAGGCCTTTTTTTATATTGCATCACAGGGTGAAGTGAACGTAGAAATTTGGGCTAGCAGTAGTGCAAAAATTGTGTACATGACTTTGGGGTTTGCAAAAATGATAATAATAATAAGTCCTAATGTTAAGTGTTGGTAAGGTTGAAAATAATTTGGGAAACTTATGCAATGCTTGTGGGGGATATAAAAGAATGCAGCAGCATTAGAAAATAATTTGGCTGTTTATCAAATGGATAAATATAGGGTTAACTTTGGACATAGTGATTACATGCCTAGATAAACCTACTGCTAATAGTTATGACAATATGTGTCCACACAGAATATTATATAAAAATACTTGTTAAAACATTAAAAAATTCTTAAATGCAAATCAACAGATGTTAGCATAAACAATGTGTGGTACAGCCATGTGATGGTATATTATTCCACTAGATAAAGGTATGAAGTGCTGATATATATCTCTATCAGTATTATTGCTTCAGTAGTACACAGGGTAGCTCACTCTCCTTCACTAACTCTGTGTATATCTAACATCTGTAGCATAGATGAGCCTTGAAAACTGTGCTAAGTTAAAGAGGTCAAACACAAACGTCCTCATATTATAAATTTCATTAACACAGAGACGCAGATTGGGCAAATCTATGCAGACAGTGGGGAAGTGGTGACTGGGTTTGTGTCCAGAGGAGACAGGGGAGTGGCTGTAAGTATGGGATTCCTTTTCAGAGGTTTTTTGAGCAGTTGGGGACATTGTCTGGGAGTATGTTGTTTTAATGTCCTATGGTCTTTTAGGATAGCATGGTAGGGTTGAGATTAAGGCTAAGGGAATTATTTGTTGTGGTAGAATTTCATTCCTGTATTCTTAAGCTTTAGGTTAATTATCCTTAAGGAAAATATTTCTGGTGGGTCAGGTCAGAGGATATGAGTTTGATTTTGGGTGGGGATTATGTAAGTGGTTACATGAGTGTGGGGGCTTGGAGTATATTTCTACCACCTGATTGGTGGTTTAGGAGGGAGGGATTAGGGAATAGCCTACTCAGAGGGGAGGTTGTTTATGTGAGTGGCTTGGGTACTGGCCAGGGGCTCATGTCGTATGACAGCTGAGTGATTGGTAGCTTGGTCTGTCTAGTATCTCAGCCAGTAGCAGTCTCTGAACCCTGGGTCTCATTTTAGGCCTTGTGTCCTGCATACATTCCCAGTGTGAAACCTGTGGTGCAGTTTCTGCTTGTATTGTAATGCTAATACCTTGCTAATGGGTCAGTTTTGTGCTTTGTGCCCACACAGAGAGAGGATAAAATGCCTGGGAACTGCCATTCCTTCAGGTGTGCTAAAATAAGGGCATGCAGATCTGACCTCAGGGAGTAGGGGTTAGATATGCCAAGAGGAGCTGGACCTCCCCCAGCTTGTGTGGAGAGTTAGCTCATTCACTATTGACATCAGGTCCAGGTTGCGCAGTACAGGTATCCATAGGCAGTTTGGTAGACTGTGCGGTAACTACTGCCTGGGCGATATTACTGCAGATGAATTGGACTGGGGCTTCCCTAGATTGAACTGAGAACCAAGTATATTTGTGGTTCTATCTGTCCCAGGCTAGCTGTGCAGAGCTATGTCCCTGCAGCTTGGCCAGTCAGCTTCCCTAGTTACATCTGGGATCACGAAAATTAGTCCAGCCTAGAGTTAGGGAACTAACGCCTCCATTTTGTGGCAAGGGCCAATGATAGAGGGAAATCTGTTGGATATTGAATAAGGAAGACTCAAGAAGAATTTATGTATTTAATTATTGCACTGCAGGGAAACACCGAAATTATCATGGACTTCTAACAGGACAAAGATATTTGTGTTGGAAAAAGTAAGGCCAGAGAATTCCTTAGAGCCAAGGATGGCAAAGCTTCCTCTTACAGCCTTTGGCTATATTGTCAGGAAAGAGCATTTCGGAAGTAGGACGTTATGTCTTTTACAGTGTAGTGGCTGCAAAAAAGAGGAAGGCCCTTGAGAAGATGAACGGACACAGTGGGCTCAGTCATAGAAACAATTGTGAGGCTGGTGCTGGACCATGCCGTGTTTCATTCTGTTGTTCATATGGTCACTCTGGGTCAGAACCTACTTGATGACACAAAGCAAGAAGAAGAAATTTGGGATATTTAGAGATCAGGGATACAAAGCCTGCAGATGCCCTGTGACATCACACTTACACGTTCTTCCTTTGTCAAACCAAAATCACTGCCATTGAGTCTATGTTGGCTCATGTATACCATGTAGCACAGGG